TTGTCCGACTTCTTCCCCCCTAAAGAAAGCCTTCCTGATGGAGAACATTTATTTTTACTTTGAAGGGTGCTGTCTACATGCCAGAACTCACATCTACTTGGAGCTCTCCTAATGTCTTTGGAATTGTGGTATGTAAAGCTGTCGTCTTCCACCAGTACAAATGTGCTCTGAGTCACAGGTTAGGTCCTAACTCTGCCCAGCCTGTTCTTAGATATAGAGATAACAGACTAATGCAGAGGAAACAGATTTCTTTTGTATGGCTGGAGAACACTGAAACACTTAGTAGAAGTAAAACCTCATATCCAGCTTCTACTCCCTTTCACATGCTAAGCATGGGGATGTACAGAGTTGAAAACATTCTTTCAAATATATTATTTAGCTACTATATTCCAGATACTATGGAATATAAATCCTTGCAGGAAAAATACACAAGCTGAATAATTCGACTTTCAACCAGATTCACAGATCAAAACACAAGTCAAGTTACACAGTTATTATCATAGGCCAGTATCACAATCACATGGGGTTTCATTTGATGGTGATAGAGCAATATTGATGAAATATAAATAATTCCCACTAACTTTATTTTATTTCCATGATTTTAAAATACTGTAATCAAGCTAGTTGTACTCTTAGTCTCCAAATAGCTTGATTTTAAAAGTCATAGAATTAAGATAAAAGATGCTTATTATCCATAACAGACGAACACATTTAATTCCATTATACTATTAACACTATTTAATTAAATTAATTTAATACTATTTAATTCAAACATACAGGAGAAAATGTCTCACCAGATTAATGGAAAAATACTTGAGCTGGACAAGGACAATAACTGACAAAATTATATTATTAGGATAATTTTGCAACCATTTTTTATTCAAAAAAATTGTATTTTTGTAAACTTGACATTTCCAAAACAGTGCAAGTGAATTAGAATACAGGTGAACACAAGCTTCTAAATATAGGTGACATCAGTAAGAGTGGACACAGTCTTACAACCACAAGATCACAAAAAGAAACATACAATTTTATAATACATAAGCAGTGACATTCTGAGAAAAAGGAGTGACAGTGGTGCAGGTACTCTACTGCATATGCAAACCAAGCTCCAAAAGCAATTACAGTCTTCATGCCAGTTTAATCAATGTACACTAAATGAACAAAATCTACTTTCATTTATATCCAAGAAATTATAGCAAGTGGATGAACCTGGGCAAAGGATAGAAATTAGTTCCATGACTCCTTCAGTCCTTTAGTGAAAGCAATATCATAAATTCCCCTGCCACACGGATCCTATGCTTCAAACTTGCGCATAGAATCAGCTGGGTTGGAAGGGATCTCCGAGATCATCAAGCCAACCCTTGATCCACTACCGTTGCAGTTACTAGGCCATGGCACTAAGTGCCACATCCAGTCTCACTTTAAAAATCTCCAGGGACAGAGAATTCACTACTTCCCTGGGCAGCCCATTCCAATGTCTGATCACCCTCTCTGTAAAGAAATTCTTTCTAATATCTAACCTAAACCTCCTCTGGCACAACTTGAGACCATGCCCTCTTGTCTTGCTGATGTGCCCACAAACAGAAGAAATTCAAGGAAGTCAAATATTATCAAAGACAGTCTTTGCATAACTATTGCTTTCAGCAAGCTGGGCTACCTGCACATCACTGACTTGGTATGTGGGGTCACTTCCATTCCTGTATTAAGGTAGACAGGGCTGTTCTTACTGTTATGCTTGGCATTGCAAATGCCTTTGCCACTTAGAGGTGAAAGGATTGCTTAAGTGGTTTACAGGTTTGGGGTTCACATCAGGCATAATTTCTCTCAGATGATCCAAGCAACCTGTGAGATGACTTCAACTCAGAGTCTGCTCCAGTATTTTCTACAGTTTGCTGACTTCATTATAACTTCACAAATAAAAAAACCTAGGTTTATTCAGAAAAAAATAGTAGGTATTTTTGTTAGCTACAATGGCCAAGTACCAGAGCATTCCAGTGACTTAGAGCACACTAGCTGTGTTATTGCTTGGGGAGAATTGATGCAAATTCACCTCCAAGACCCTTGGTTTTCAAATTAAATGGACACGAAACTGCTGTAAAAGGTGGCAAATGCTCTCATCTCTTGGGAAGTGAAAGCCCATTATGCTGTGGACCACCAAAACTGTGAAATGACTGTGATCTTCTTGATGTCATCATGGAAACTAAATGGGGGTTGCAAAAGCACAGGCTTTGCATTAAGTGATTTTTTGATCACATTTTTCTGAGATTGTTTTCTTCCTATCCTAAACCCAACTTCATTGGTACTGTTTGTAAGAAGACACATTGCAAGCTTCAGATCTCTCAGATGCCAGAGGATGCATTTGAAAATGTAACTGCCCCACTTCTAAGCTTTCTCCTGAATAGCTTAGAGCTAGTGCAAAGTGAGCCCACTGGAAAAAAAAAGGCAATGTCAATTTAGCAAACCTTTCAATTAACTTGTCCAAGACAACTAAAGACATTGTCTCAAAATGGATTAACTGGAGAGAACTTGTACAATGACTACCCTCAGTTGCTGCAGAATTGGAACATCACAAAGAAACTAACAAGCAGCTGACACATAGGAACCTTAGAGCTGAAAAAGCAATTTCCAAAGTAACCATGTCTCCAGATTTTGATACAATTATATTTATAACAGTTTCATAATTAAAATAAAAAAGAAACAAAAAACCCCGCCAACCAAACCAGCAGATCTATAGCATAGTTATTTCCTACACATTCTTGACATATATTACTTTTTCGTAAGATTTTAGGATTAAAAAATGATTGCAACCAACTGATATTAGTGGGAATTTTTGTTTGGTTGCTTTTTAAGGAGTGGAAAGGTGCATCTACAATATTTTAATATGAAGGATTGATATGTTTCATTGTCACATCTGACTATCCTAACTGAAAGCATACAAGAGCCACAATAGAACTTGACTAAAAAAAAAAGAAAAAGAAAGAAAAAAATATGGAGAGTATACATATAAAACCAAACCCCTATTTTACAACAGATCTCCTGAGGGCCTAACAGTAATGACACTAAGAATTTGTGGATCATTTCAAGAATATGGCACTCATCTGGGCAACAACTAGATTTTCATTAAAGGATGACTTGAGCTGGATCAATTCTCTGACAATTCAGGTCAGAAATCCAAAAAGTCCAGTATGGGCTCAGTCAAATAGGATTTATTTTTATTTGTTTTTTTTACTTTAAGCAAATAAGAGAGACATTTTTGCCTTGAGACAAAACAAAACAAAAAGTCCAACAAAATATAAATGCTAAATGGGTATTCTACCCTTTTTAACTCTTCTCTTTATACACTTTTAAAAGATGTCTCAAAGGAATAAATAATTTGTACTTTTAAAATATTGTAATGAAACATTTTTGGCAGATTTTAAAATAAGTTTCTGTTTAAAAAATGAAAATTAAGCATTTCAACTTTTCAAAGGGAACTTCCTCATTTTTTTTCAGATAGAAACTTTTAAATTCAGTTAAATTCACAAATAATTTCACTTTTTCCCTGAGCTATTTTTTCAGCAAATTTACTTCTTAGGAATTTTTGAGGGGTTCAGTTTTAGAGAGGGTGGATACTGCAGGTTCTAACAGCTAATAAACAGTCTCTTTTTTTTTTTCAGCAAGTACTTTAAGCAGTTTCTTTTTCAATTCATAGTTGTGAATCAATCTCGTATCCAATTTCTGTCCAACTCAGATATTTTGTAATAGAAAAACTCAGACAAATTAAGTTAATATACCAGCAAAACTAACTGATGTCAGAAATATCATACTGTGAGAAATTCATCAGCTTCTAATGCGAGAGGCAGGTTCAGATTAGATATTAGGAGGAAATTCTTTACAGTGAGGATGGTGAGGCACTGGAACAGGTTGCCCAAAGAAGTTGTAGATGTCCCATCTCTGGAAGTGCTCAAGGCCAGGTTGGATAGGGCTTTGAGCAATCTGATCTAGTGAAAGGCTTCCCTGCAGGGGGGTTGGAACTAGGTCTTTAATGTCCCTTCCAACCCAAGCCATTTTACCATCCTATCTCTCTGTGATAATACAACAGTGCAGTCAAATGCCACAAGCCTTTTGTTTTTGCACTCTAAAGAAAAATCTGTACTCTACTACATGTGATTTTAACAGCACTTTGCCTTGGATTCTGGCTTAAATGATCATTTGTTACACAGAATCTGTCAAGTCACCAATGATTGTTTTAAGAAAAATAACTGAATAGACCAATAGCTTTTCTTGTCAGATGTTGAATCAATAAACTTAATTCACTTTAAAACTATTTTTTCCCTAATGCATGCAGATAGTTAATAGTTAATAAATACTGATCAATACTGTAGTAATAGAAGACACTTAATGTCAGTGGGGGTAAAAAGCAAACAGGAATATGGATGAGTTTAGTTTTTAAAATTTGAAGCTATAATGGATATAATGTTCTTTTATCATACCCTTAAGGAATAAGACATCCTGCAACCTTTCAATCCTGGTTTCACTTTCTACCAATGAGCTTGACCCTTCTTTCCTTTAAATGGATTTTATACCAACATGACATTTAATTCTTATTTACACAAAGTGCAAAACACAAGTAGAATCTAAACCCAAGTCTTACAGAATTCCACTATTTCTATTCAGAAATCCAAGAGCTTTTTAAAGAAACACGGTTGAATTAATTACAACTAGGTCTCTTCTAATTCAACAAACGAGTTAAGTAATTACCAGCAACCAAAGTGGAAATCTGAGATCCAGTAACATCTGCACCTAGCCTAAACTTCCTTCTTAACGGTTGAAGAAGGATGACATTCAGTACTTGGAATACCCAGACAGGGAATCTTGAGACTCAAAGATCCAAACATTTTAACCCTTGCATCTCAAAATTATCATATAAACAAACTCATGACTTATGTATATAACTCACAAAGGAGACATAATGTTCGTAGCTTGTAGCAATTTATCACTTGATTTGATAGCAACAGATTACAATCTTGAACAGTAGCTTTAAAAATATACCTCTTAATATTAATATGGCTCCATTTAATTTTTTTTTTATTCCAAAGAATTTACCAATGCCATAATGGTCGGCCCAATTATATCCTTCTGGTATCTCAATTGTACAATCCTAGACTACTATAAAAATCCTAGAGATTGCAAGAGAAAAATTCCCAAAGGAAAACATTCTGTGATACCTTCTTCAGTGAACCAAAGCAATCTACATCTTGCTACATATCACTGAGGAAGCGTTTTCATCCTCTCCCATTCAGGCCAGTAAAGGACAGGCTCAAGATCCAGAATATCACAGCTATCACAACTGTGAAATACTTTAGATTCTTTAGTTTATAAATCAAACAACAAGTTCAACTCAAAGAAAGAGATTATGAAAAGATTTTGGCTTATATCCATTAAATGGTCTATACACAATACTACCAAGCCTGTTCAATTAAGCATATGAGGATTTCAATCACTTTTCTCTGTAAATCTCTTTTCTCTCGCATTGAAGTTTAAAAGTACAATAGAATTTATATATACACATATGTATTTTCAAAGATTTAGCCAGATATCAGTGCTTGAGTGAACTATATACTATTCAGTAGAAATTACAAAACATTGATACAAATATAAAGACATACTCAATATAAAAAGCTTATATTTATAAAATATATTTTTAGGTAACAGTCTTCCCCTGAGGGTATACCAAATAGTTGGATTCATAAATATTGCTCTGCACTGCAGCTTGGTTACCAAAGTTCAAAGTTCAACTCTTAAATGAAGTATGAATTGCTCCAGTCACCTGACATGGCTACAGTGGTTGCCTCAGGATATGTTCCCTAGTTTTTTTTGAGTGATAAAGACACAGCATCAATGGGTCTCCGAAAAATCTGGAGAAGATTCCTTCTTCCACATATGGAAGATATGAGAGCAGGACCTATAGGCTAGTGAGCACGTGTCACATGACTGGGCTTTAGTTTTCATGGGCAGTTCACTGGTTTTTCTGGACCCAGTTCCAACTATCTTCATTCTCCTTTTTGCTCTTTTCGGCCTCAATAATTTCTTTATACCTCCGGCGGAAGAAGCCCATCTGCAAATCAGAAGAGATGACAGTGGTAAGTTACACTATCATTAAACTGAAACTTAATTTGTCAGTGTGAGGACAGAAAATGGTGTGCAGAAAAAACCAGCACAGGAGTTAGTATTTAATCCTCCAAGTGCCAATCTGAAATCATAGCTCCTTATTTACATCAGTATAAATGAGATCAAACTGGGTCCCAAATCTTCACAAATTCTCTGCTCCCTATAGATGAACTACTAAGAGGTAAGAGGTCCTCTTACATAAAGCATACTTTAAAAAAAAATGCTCATAAAGTATTCCTAATAAAACAGACCAGAAGAGGCAGATACAGGTTTATTGGTTTAAAATGGAGACTAATGCAAAATTTGGAGCTGAACCTAAAGTCAGAGTAACACTCAGGTCCCGAGTAAATGCTGACAGTTTTATGAATGATACTCTCAGTGTCCACAACTGCACAAAACAACAGGGATCAGAGGAATACAGTACACCTACCCATGTCCCAGCATCTCAATTCCAGCTATCATTACCGATAATTCCTTTTGCACATCTTCTTGCTTCCTAAACCCTTGTACTTTAAGAAATGCAAGTGGGTTTCATTTCAGTTTGGAGAAAAACTTCTCATATCTCTGGGTTTTTTTAAGTCTTTCAAAAAACCAAAAATTATTTTAATAACAGACTTTGGTAACCATTCAAGAATAACTCCTCAAACTTAGCACTGTTGAGATCAGGGAATCAATATTTTGTTCACCATAATGAAATATTTACATAACTCCTACCACTCTAAACTTGTTTTTCTACTCCTGCTGTGTAAAACATGATGTTTTAGTCTTCCTTTATGAACTAGTTATTGCCACCCTTTATTCCCAAACTGGCTATGTGCAGGAAAATTTTGTGCTGTCTTGTCATAACTAATATTCTCTTAATTTGGACTTTTTAATTTCAGTTTTCAGCAACTTTCACTTTCTTCTAGTGTATTTTAACTCACAGGGGTGTGAAAGGCAGCATGGTCAATCTGCCAATGCTGCTTCTCCAGCAGGGTTTCCTAAAGCTCAGGTCCTTGCCAGTGCCCCCAGCTACATCCTGAATTCACAGCAGCATGAGAATGCACACACCATCCTCTCATTCTGCTTCTTGCCTCCTATGCAAAGGACATAGAAGCTGCAGCGTGGTCTAACAAGCCCCTTTGTTTGGTAACTGTGGACCACTGGGACATGCCATTATTCTAGAGATAAGTGTACCCTGCTGAGTGCATTTGTGTACATTACATATACACCTACTGTCCTGATTCTGGCCAAGACAGGGATAATTTCTGCAGTAGCCAGGAGGGGGGATGGCTAAGACCTGGAGGTTATTCTATACAATCTCATGCCACTGCTGGGGGTGGGGGAAGAGAGTCTCTTCTAAGGAGCAGGGGTTTCTTCAAATCAAGTAAGCATGGTGGAGAGAGCAATGGGATGGCACTGGCTTGAAAGCCGGAGGGAGCAGTGGGGTAACACTGTTTCCAAGCCAGACGGAGCAGTCAGGGTGGTGTGGTTGCAGTCACCTCAGGCTCAGTGAGTCATTTGTAGGTGAATCACTCTCTCTCTTTTGTGAGCTTTTGTTATTAATCTTGCTGCTGTTACTGTTCGTTTTCTATCTCATTGCTGTTTCCAGTAAATTTTTCTTATCTCAACCTGTGATCTTTACCTTTTGTGCCTCTAATTCTCCTTTTCAGCCTGCTGCATGGGAGGGGAGGAGTGAGTGACACGTGGTTTTAGTGGGAGTACTACATTGGTGAATACCATTCCTAAGTCATGACAGCCTTCTTTGGCACCCAATGTGTGGCTTGAAGGGTTAAGAAAATAACAGGTCTGTCCAGAGTGGGTTGAAAACAAATTTGATCTAAGCATTTGTTGTATTAGGTACAGAGCCACTGGTCACAATATTGCTTGGTCTGTTCATGTGGGTGGGGTACCTAACCCTGTATATATTCCCCTACGTGCTCCTCGTGGTGCTCTTTTTCAGAGCAGGGAGGGGAATCAGGATTGCTCCGTCATTGTACTGTCTGATATCAGCTTATGAAATTATAAAGTCAAGGACAATGAGGGTGATTTGGGATGTGTATTCAGTGTCACTCTCCTACCCTTACCTCGGGTCCTACCTTTGGGAGTCCATCAATAATTGTACCCAGTCTGCAGGAGAACAGGGGAGGGTGATTTTCCCTAGCTTTTCACCCCTTTTTCCTCCTTCAGGCCTGTTACAACAGCTTTCAGAAGTTTTGAAATTCACTTGAATGTTAAGGAAAGCATGTTCTTGTTGCCAAGACTGCCAGGATTCCTCAGTGCAGTCCACACCATGTTTAGAGTCAAGAAAGAGAAGGTAATTTCTTTCCTTTAGGAAGGTCATTCAGAGATCTGCCTCAAGGATTGATAGCCATGAGCGGCATGAAATGTGGGAGAAAATGGTCCAGTTTTTGGAGAGATTCTCTGCCCCATACAGGAGCAGCCAATAAAGGCAGCAAAAGGACAGGTTTAATTTTTGCTGTGGTCAGGAGGGGGTGTGGATAGGACCTGGAGGTTATACTATACCACCTCAGGTCATTCCCAGGGATGGTGGAAGGGAGTCTCTTCCAGGGAGAAGGGATTCCTTCCAGTCCATCAAGTGGAGGAAGTGGTGGAAGTGTGGTGGAGGCAGTGGTAGCGTAACTGGAGAATATAATTCCTAAACCACAAGACCTACAGCGACGTTATAAATGCACAATAGGTAGACATATACATAAATGTCCATGACCTTGAGGTTACGAAGGTCCCATGACCTTCTGGAAGTCCCCTTTAATAAGTGAAATTAGACCTTAAAACTCATTTGTTCATAGAAATTCTTGTGCACAGACTGTGAACGTAGTATCGTTCCCATCTGTCAGAAGCAAAGCTTTATCTGTTGCTATGTACATGCAAATGCAGGGATAGTGGTGGTCCTGTTCTGAAAAATCACCTCAAAAAAGTGACACTGTTGAATTTCAGAGGGCCACGTCTCCCTCACTTCCTAGCATCTTTCAAAGCACTATCTGCAAGGATTCAAGAAGAGAAAATTAAAGAGGAGTTTTTCTAGTTCCCCATCCTTCAAACTTACTCTAGACATCAGATCAAATTCTTTCTTTAGCAGAAAAAAATTCTTATTAGTAATTTTTGTACTTGAACCTACAAGCTATACTAGCGCAAAGGATTTATTTTTAGAAGACATCCTCAAGATAGCACCACCATAAAATCCCAGTGAAAGTTCACCATTAATGCCAACAGAATTCAGCTCAATGAGGCTTGAAGCAAATAGTTGAAGTTTCTCTAGATTTTCAGTCTAAAATGGAAGTGAATTATTATATTGATATTGGAAAAAAAAAGTGTAAGAGCCTAATACTTCTCTGTTGTTCTGCCGCAGTAGGATTAATCATAGGTACTTACTTATTCCCAGGAATCTGCTGCTATTACTTATATATGTTCAGGGAGCAGATGTGTTGAAAAAGTGGATGCCATTTTTTGTATTATCAGTTTTTATAAGACCTACATGTTTTTCATTAGAAAACTGCCATAGGACTTTGTTTCCTTAGATTAACAAGAGAAGTTTAATTTCTAGTTTTAAAAACAGGTTTTAAACCCTTAAGGTTTCCATCCTTCATGCAAACACATCCTTGATATAATAAAACTTTCACTTGAAGTTATAATCAAAATTATAGAAAGGTTTTTTAATTTCCTTGAGGGCCAAACAAACAAACTCAAACTCCTTCCCACTGTTATTTTCATAAAAAATGTCTGTTATTGAACATCTGCTTCAGGAATTGTCTTTAAAAGTTGTTTATGAGCATTTTGGTATTTTACTATTTTTTCACTGAATACACAGTGCTTTTGTATAACTTTTCAGCAGGGATAAAAAGTGAGCTGAAAACCATAGTAAATATTAATAAAGCATGAATTCCTACATCCAGAGGTGACCCCATTACAAAGAATTATGTTTACTTGCTGTAAATGATGTGAATACTCTAAAACTATGTAGAGGAGTTAAGTGCAGGCAAAAAGAGAAACTGAACCTTAAGGATTATTTTTTTTAACATTTTTAGATATAGTGGTCAGGGATTAGATAAATTTCCCATCCTTGAAAGACAAGGATGTGCTTTGTTATGCGATACTGTTCCTTAGTGTTTAATGCATATTTCCGTTTAATGTGATATTTCCATTTAATGTGATGATGATCCCTATCATCACCAGAGAGGGATTTTTTTGATAAGGACCATGAAGAAATCACAACACAGTCATTGTCTCGCAAGACTCCATACAACCTGCATATCCTTCTCCTTACAATTAATAATTTCATTAAAAATTATACCAATATTAACCTGTACGGCAAGGGCTGATTAATACCAGTAGCAAGCTGGAGAGAAAAAGTGAATTTAGGATAGAGTGAGAGGTAATAAGGAGGCAGACACTTGGACCAAAGCAGAAGAATTGATACAACATGGAGCTGAGCACATATTGGCTCTTTTATCACTGGAGCTGAAGGAACACCAGAAGATCTCTTTTCCATGGCTAATGCAAAGTCATTAAGGGAACTGAGAAAATACAGTGAGGATAGCACTGCTGGGATTGAGTCCTGAATTTTGAGCAAGGAAGAGGAAAAGAGATCCTCAGCTTTAACAGGAGCATTGCTGTGATCTCATTTGTAGAATGGGTGTTTACAGTGGGCCGATGGTCTCCAACACGTTTCATGGTAATGAGTTCATGGTATTGTTCATTTCTCCCAAACTTTGCTTTCTATATATACAGATATATGCATGTGTGTACACATACAGATGTATGTACAGAGCAAAGGAATACCCACGTCAAGAGTTGTGACCCCATCAGGCAGTCTGTGAGTTCACACAACTACACCCAAGTAAAGGACTGAGGAAAATACTTTGATCAGTAAACTTCTGCCTAGGGAAGGCACTCATGAGAGGAAGGACAACAGGAAATATTTGCAGGAAGCAAGGAAAGAGCACTGTG